GGAGGCAGAGGCAGGCGGATCTCTGTGAGTTCAAGGCCAGCCTGGGCTACAGAGTGAGTTCCAGGAAAGGCACAAAGCTACACAGAGGATCCCTGTCTCAAAAAACCACCCCCCCCAAAAAAAACCCAAAAAACAAAAAACAATACAAAAAAAAATCTATTGATGGGTGGGTATGTACCATAAAGTTTTAAAGTAGAGCTGACTAATTCTTTTTCATATATAAAAATTTAGATTTGTGATTCCTTTAAGATTCCTCATAAGATTGCCTATCAAGATAAGTAATAAAATGATTGGTCCTTCCTTGTAACTGCAAACACAGCCTGACAGTAAAAGGATATCTTGTTTTCTTACACACTGTTAATCTATAACAAGTTGCTTGGATATGAATGTAAATGGCTTTTTGGGATAATTTGTTTTTCACCTGTAATGTGTAAAAAGTTTAATCATGTAAAGGGTATAGAAAAATGCTCTTATTTACTTGTATTCATTGTAATTATTCACTTGAAAAACAGAATGCTGTGGGAATTTGTTCTTTTCAGCCAATGGCTTTGGGGTACAAGCCCTAGAGCATTGCTTTGTCTGTGCAAGTGACCCCTTAAGAGCTGAGAGAGAGGAGTCATTCTTCTCTTAGTGTTAAGGACCAGGTCAAGTGGCATAGAGCAGCTTGCAGTTGGTCCCCATCCCCCTCGGGTCAGAAGGACAGGACATCAGCAGCTGGACCAGCAGGATCAGCCGTTGTGTCTTCCTAGTTCTGTATTAGTGAGTCTGTATCCCCATTGCACCTTTAATAAATTAATAATAGACCTCTGTGGATTGTCACATTAACAGAATGTAACCCCACTGTAAGTTTTATACTGTCTGGAAGATTTTGCTGGGGTATATAAGCTGTAAGGGAAAGAATAAAGGTAGAGTTAAAATGCATTACAAGGAAAACCTCAGAAAGAGAGTAGGAAATCATCAGGTAAATAAAGAATAGAGACTGCAAAAGAAGAATAAAGAAAAGGTCTGAAGGAAACCATCAAGAGTGTATGTGAGTGTCTTTTTCCCTAACCCCCTCAGATAAAGTCTTAGTATGTAGTAGGCACTGACTCTGGATTCCCTTTGAGCCCTGCCCTGTTGGAGGCCCATCCCTAGGCAATGGTAGTGTCCTCCCTTTCCCTCTGGTTCCTAAAGTCTTTCCAACTCCTTTTGCACAGGATTCCCTGAGCCCCGAGGGGAGTGATTTGAGAGACACATCGCATTTAGGATTGAATGTCCCATGGTCTCTCACTTTCTGCACATTGTACAGCTGTGAGTTTCTGTATTTATTTTCATTTGCTGTAGGAGGAAGCTTCTCTGATGATGGCTGATCAAGACAATGATCTATGGGTATAAGAGAATGTTTTTGGGAGTTATTTTTTGCTACATTCCTTTAGCAGAACAGTAGTATTTGGTCTTCTGATAGGTTCCTGTCCTTTCTGGTCTCAGGATGTTGGTGTTCTGAACAGTGTTGGGGATAGGTTCCATCTCATGGAGTGGGGCCTTAAATCTAATCAGTAATTGGTTGGTTACTCTTACAGGTTTTATGCCACTATTGCATTAGCACATCTTGCAGCCAGGTCATCATTGTGTATGAAAGGTTTTGTAGCTGGGTTAGGGTTTTCCTCTAGTGTGCAGAGTACCTGCCACTACCATGAGCACTAGTCAGTAGTGGTGAAGGCTCTAGAGAGGCCCCAGTTCAATTTCTCCATGTTATAACCCTGTGAGTTATATGGGTGTTGTCTTCACAATAGAGCCTCACCATCAGTTTGTAGAGAGCAATCAATAGCCTTGGCAGTAGCCTAGGTTGTGTGAGTGTTGCCATAGAGCCCCTTTGGCCAACAATTCAATTAGATGTAACCCTTTCCAGAACTGGAGGCTTCATTTTGGTAATGAGAATTACTCAGTTGAGGCTCTGTCTCCCCCATTGTTTTGGGGGGTTTATTTTGATCCCCTTTATATACGTATCTATCTGTAGAAGTCTCTACTGTATCAGAGTTCCATACGACCTTCAAATAGTCCCTTCATTTTAACTATACCTTCCCATATTCCCTCTCTCATTGTACGCTTCCCTTTCCCTCCCATTTAAAATAACATATTAAACTTATTCTTTGAAATTTTGTATTTGTAGATAATGTGTTCTGATTACTCTCAGCCCTTGACTTCTTTGAGCACTCCTGCCCCATCTTTCCCACTTAACCCTCACCTGAAGTCCCTTTTCCACATTCATATCTTTTTTTTCATGATCCACTGAGTTTCATCAGCCTGTCTGTGTGACCATGGATTTGGTACTACCCCTTGGAGCTCAGTGACCTCACCAGTAGGTGTACAACTGAAGATAATGATTACCCCTACCCCAGAACCTATCAGTAGCCCAAAGGTGAGTAGGACATGTTAGTGCGGTGTGAGCTCCTTCCATATCCATGATTTACTACTGGCAGCTCTAGTCTGGTATACAACTAGTACAAACAGTCTTAACTGCTATGAGTTCATGATTGCAATGCCTATATCATGCCCAGAAAACTGTATTTCAGCTTTTCTCCCCATTTTACATCTCTCACATTGTTTCCATTCTCTCATTTGGGGTGTTTCCTGAGTCTTAGAGAAGTGATATGAATGTTCTGTTTAGAGCTAAGAATTCAATTATTTGTTGTATGAGCTTTGAGTCTATGGTTTAACTGTTTCCAATGCAAACAGATGCTCCTTGACGAAGGCTGGGGCCAGCGTTAATGTATGAATATGAACATAGGTATTTAGAAAGCAGGTTAGTGCCATGTCAATTTAGCTACAGAAATAGTTGTAAGTTCCTATTTTGGCATAAGACTTCTTCAAATGTATTTTTGCCTGGTTTTACAGTACTATGTGTGAATTCCCTCTTGTAAAGCAGACCTGAAACTCTGTCAGAGAATAGTTGTTTGCCCCCATGACTTTGATGTTACTGTAGTACAAGTGGGCACATCTCATCTAGCATTTTGGTATTGTAGTTCATAATGCCTTTTCTCCTCCAGCAGCCCGCATACCACCTTCTAACATTATGGGAGCTAGATAGCCTAGAGGAAATTTCTAGTATGCTAATAGAATTTTGTAAAGAATTTTGTACATTTGTGAGATAATGCATACTGTGTCTACCACATAGAGGATATGGAACTATTTGCATTTCCCCATTATAATTAATTGCTATATTTCTATACAGACTGTGTGATAATTTGTGGCACCAAAAAGATCACTCTAGGGTGTTGAATTAATGTAGGTCCCAGGGAAATTACCTGGAATGGGACTCTAATATTATAGGGTGCCTTCACTGACATAATTCCTTATGTAGTAAATAATATCCTGGTGGATTTCCCATGAGAGTCACTAGAGTTGTTACATTGTAGTTGTGTACAGATCTTCTAAAAAGTTGTAATGATGAGTTTCTTTCACATATGCCTTACAGTAAGAGGTGAAATTCTTCAATTTTTTGGTAAATAACTAATTCCAGAACAGTGATGAATTACGACAAATTGAATAAAGTTGAATAAAGTAACACCCACTCTAATTGGAGAACTACAAACTTCAAGATGTTTTAAAAATAAAGTATCAACAAGGACGTGATTTTCTTACAGAAATAACAAGTTGAAGATTCTTTGTGACCTGTTATGCACTCAACTGACATCAGGAGTTTATGTGACTCTCGTGAATCACTGTTCCATTTGGGGGAACTGACTCTTGTGTCTTAATTCCTAAGTGATTTAGATTGTCAGCAGCTCTCTTTAGACACTGTAGGTTAATCAGTCAGCAATCAGAATAGATCACAATGGTTAAGATAGCAGAAATTATTAGAAAACTTTAAGCACAATGACTTCTCCCTGCAAAGAAGTGTGGATTTCCCCCACTGAGTATTTTTTCTGCAGTGATATCTTTTTTTTTTTTTTTTTTTTTT